AATGAATGTGTAATAAAAAAAATTATTAATCGTTTATCTTAAGATTATTCTTGAGCTTAATCGGTATCGGAAATAGTTTCCAATGATACGATAGGAGCACAAAATTTGAAATTTTACATTTTAGCGGTACAATTTATAGCGGTATAATTTGATTGTAGGAGTAGCGAATCTGTTAGTGACGAAGGATATTTTATTCTTAATAAAGGTCGAGTGTAGTTTTTAAAGAAACGACAAGGATAAAAAATCTGGACATTCATATTTTAGAACATATTTGATGAACACAAATTATAGTGTTTATTGTGGAAGTAACAACTGAAGCAACAACTTTTGCTCATAGCGTAGAGTATTTAGGGTAGTCTTGAGTCCAATAGGGTTGTGTTCAATTAAAAGTTTCTTGAGAGATGGATCAATATTATTATATTCATTTTATTTTTATACAAATTGGCACAAATTCAGTTTTTTGTAATTCTATTTTTCTAATTTTCTTTTTTTACTTTTTTTTATGCTGTTAGCTTAATATTAAGCTAACAGTATCACAAATTTCTTCTAAATGGCAATATAAAATTGTATTTTGCAACACAAATTAGCACAAAATAATCATTACAGTTCAATATATCTTTTTCAATTCTGCTTATTTGATCCTATTAGCTTGACAGAGATAAATTATAATTCAATAGGTATTAATTTTATTAAATCTGCTAAAATTAAATGAATATAGGAATTGAAGAACAATTTACAAAATGTCGAGAGAGCGTGCTTCTAGAAGATTTTATCGCATAGATAGCACTAATGATTTATTTGGGTTTATGGACCGTGGCTATTCAGCCCAACATGAAAATCGATGGAACTTTGAAGTTGCTTGGGAAGCTGCCAATAAAGGTGCAACATTATATATGTTATAGATCTTTCTGATGTACTCCTGATAATTATATTTCCCTATTATCACATATAATTCACACACTCCTTTTCAGTTGGTGGTATTTATACTGTAATAAGATCTAAAGCTTATGTTTCAACTGAAGAAATGGGTGATCAATATTGCCTTATTGGTCCATATAAAGAACATTCAGCACGTACTGAAGTTGAGGAGGCAGACTTTCCTCCTCATAATCCGTTGCATCAAGCAGTACAAGTTTTACGTGATCAAGGATATAAAGTAAATCTTTTAAAAAATTGTGGATTTGACATTTAGTGTCAAAATTAATAATCTTAAATCAGTTTGTTAAATCATACATTCACACGCGCTCGCGCAGGCGCGCGCATATGTGTGCGTGCAGCAGATATAAAGAAATATATTATTAAGGTTTGTCAAATATTTCAACTAGAAATTATATATTAGAAATAATAATTTTACATTAGACACACACTGCAAATACATATACATTTATGTTAATGGCTTATATTCCAAAAAAGAATATAAGATTATTTAAAGAAAAAGTTTAAACGAAAGACAAAAGAATTTATTAATTTGTTTCTTACTAATGAAATTTTAGAATGACATTTTTTATTTTAATTACGAAATATGTTCAAGATATTTCATAAAATATTTTGATGTAGTGACAAAAATTCAATAAGAATTAAAATTGTTATTTAAAAAAAATTGTTATTTAAAAAATCAAATAGACTTTAACTAAAAGTAAATTAAGATCATTATTATTTCTGCCTGACAATTGTAAAATTTATTAGAAATATTTTTTCAAAAAATAAATGTTTGTTTTTTTTAATCACTTCTTAGATTAATAATTCACTCTTTATGTGTATGCACGCACGCATGTTATAATCTACAATATATTAAAAATTTTCATCTATGAGTAATAAACAAATATGGAATAATATTAATATAATTTAAAAATATCGCTACATAATTTTCGTGTGAGCACAAATATATTTGCACAAACACACATGTATATTGTATGTAATAATTTTTTTTAAATTATATGTCCTGATATTACTTATATCTTATATACATAACTTATATACATAATATTATTCCATACTTATAGACTTTATCAAACATCACATTTTTAACAAATATTGCACTCATAAACACTTCAATCTTCAAATATTTAGTTATTTTTTAGTTATTTTTTAATTATTTTTTTAATAATTAAATGTAAAATATATTTTATCATTTAATACAGCTTTCTATTTTGGCCATAAGGATTCATTTCTTGATTTTATTTATTAAAGGGATAAAACGGTAAAATTTCCAAAAAATTGAAAAATCTCTTTTTCTACTTTTTTCAAAAGCTTGATATCTTAAAAATATGTATAAGACCCTAAAAGGATTTTATAAAATTTGAAATATTTCTCGAGTTATGTGAGTTTCAGTGAATGATAATAAACGCACCTGATTTAAGAGAGAAGCTGTTCGCAGGTGATAGACAGACAGATAGACAGACAGACAGATAGACGGACGGACGGACAGACAGATTTCTATTAAATAATACTAAAACTTTTAAACATTTTTCTTAAAACTACAATACCTTTTTTCAATTGGCGGCGTCTATAACTCAATTTCGATCGACCGATCGACCTTTGAACAGCTTTATAAAATAAATATATTAATAATAAAATAAATATATTAATAATAAAATAAATATATTATAGTTTCAGTTAAGCGTAGGGATTTTTTTTTTTATTAATTACTTTTCGAAGAACGAGATGTTTAAGGGGCTCAAAATAGCGAAATTAAATTTTTTTTAAACCACTGCCATTTTGTAAAAAAGAATTATTTTAAAAAATCGTTACGCTTAATTGAAACTACACTCGTACAGATTCAAAATTTTCAGATAATTACAACTTGAGTTTTTTACACCGCCGATCATGTTTTTTAATTATTTAAGGGGCACATTTTTCTTATAAACAAATTATTGAAATCATAGGTCATCTATGGATTTTCGCTAATTCTGATGTTCAGAATTACAAAATAAATAATAAATAAATAGACTTATAAAAGATCTTCCAAGACTTATAAAAGTCCAAAATTTCGAAAACTTTTTTCGGAAAAACTAGCAAGTAGAAAAATTCTGAAAAATATATATATTCATAATTTCAGATATGGAGTACACGCATAAAAATTTTCAAAGCCCTTCATGTTTAAGAATAGCCGAATTTATTCTGAAAAAAAAAACAAGTTTTTTTACATTAATTGTTTATAACAAAATTGCAAATAAATAAACGTAATTTTTTATGAAAGTTGCATAATTTAAATCCCTAAGAGTCTAAAAAATTTATATGCGCATACAAACTGCAAAATAGATTAGAAATATGGAAAAAACTGAGAATAAAAAGATGAGACGTATACGTTCCATTGTCCTTCAAAAGATTAAACACGGAAGTCTACATGCTGTGCAACATCGCCATATATTTATATTTAAACATACAAAAATTCTTGAAATGTTTTCAAAGTGTACTCAATTGATGTATCAATTCATAATTTTTCTATATATTTAGTTACTTTTTAAAAATTGCCGACTTATATTTATTTTTTTAAAAGTTGATAAAGGACTTTTTTTAAGGTCTTTACTTTTATTATATTTAGTGTATATACACGGTGTCTGGTAAGTTTTAACAAAACACTCGTGAGTAAATAGAACGAAAATGAATCGAAGTCTTCTATTTTGTAATTTTTTTTTGCAATAGTTAACAAGATATTAATTATTAAGAATCGTTGAGTATTGATTTTCAATCATTTTTTGTTTAAATACTATCAACTTTATAGAAAAACAGCGAGAGACAAAAATTGTTTATTTTCTTCTCATAAAGTTCTGAGAATTTTTTCAAAATTTTTTATACCATATTTTCTCATATTGATAAAAATAGTTGCCAATGTAAGAAAATGCGGTAATTATTGAGGATAGAGGAATTATCTCCAATGACTTTGACATTGTTGTCAAGATCATGACCCCTAAGTGACCTCCAACAAGTTTTAGCCGTCGCTCGTCCTTCGTTAAAAAATCATTAATATATAAATTGACAATAAAGAATTTATGTTTGCGTGGAAATTCATTGTTTTAACAGAGAATTTGTTATTCTTAATGCACTGAATTTTTGTTTATAAAGCAGTAATTAATTGCTTTAAAAACATAAATTTACTGCTTTAATACAAGTTCTTCGCATTATGAACAAATTCTCTGCTAAAGCAGTGAATTTATGTGTCTGCATGGAACCATTATGTAAGCACGGAAAAAAATAGAATAGTTTTTAATATTTGCATGGAAGGTTAAAACCCATATGCAACAATACAATTATGAAAGTCACGCCTCCTTTGCAGGTTGGGAGGTGGGGATGGAAGTCGTTTCGCATAAAAAGTTGAACATTTCTAAGCAGGGAGAGGTGTAGAATAGTACTGAATATTGTATAGCAGAAATAAGATGTTATTTTTGAAACTTTTTTTGTTAATAGCTTTTTAATGAAGAACGAGTGATGGCTAAAACTTGTTGCAGGTTGCTCAGGATCATGATATTGACACATATGTCAAAGTAAAGATCATCGGAGTTCCCCTGTTTTCAATAATTATCTTTTTATCTCTTGTAGTTTTTAATATTCGACAATTAAATATCTTTTTGACTATTGCGAAAATGGTAAAGGATATTTTGACTCAGTTTAATTCGCTCTATCTACACACGAGAGTTTTGTCAAAACTTGTGTACGTGCATGTATAAAAATATAGGGTATCCTAAAAAGAGATACCTAAATAACACCAGACAAAGTTGTAGAGTTCAAAAAGATCGAAGTAGAAGTAAATAGATCTTTTTGAACCTTACAACTTTTTTCTAAACACTTTTCTGTAAAACTTATATTTTCTGAGATATTCATTTGTTACAACTTTTTGGGACACACACACAAGTTCCGGAACGGTTAATTATCTCAGAAAGTATTGGTTTATTGGAAAAATGTTTCAGACAAAAAGTTGTAATGTTTAAAAAGATCTATTTATCGATCTTATCAGTTTGACTTTCGGTAATCGCCAATGTCAGGTCAAAGTCACATCAATTTATTTTAAATGGAAGCCCTCATTTTTCCTATTATTCCTATTTATAGCTTAGTTCTTCGAGAACTTTTCGAAACACTGTAATATAATATTTTTTCATTAAGTACTTTTTGAATTATAATGTTTGAAAGTTAGAATACCGCCAATATTAGAGCATTACCCAAGATGCATCGCATGGAGATTGACGGTCGGATTTACATCGTGTGCATACGCGTGTATATCTTAGGTTATCTTAGGTTATCTTACATTAATGCTGGCGATATTATAATTTTCAAATCTCATAACTCGAAAACTACTGAAGAATAGGTTTTATTATAGTATTATAGTATTATAATATTGGGAGTACAAATAAGTTTCCGCTGTTTTTTATCAAAAATTAAGCATTTATTGTGAAAGAACGGTACATAATGTTTTATTCGAAGTAATGGCCATTGCTAGCCACTACTTTTTCCCATCTTTCTGGTAACATGTGAATATCGCGTCGGAACGCTTCATCTTTTGAGGCTATCCAATCATCGATACAATTTTTGATATTTTCATATGATGTGAAGTGCTGCTCAGATAGGCCATGCGTCATCGATCGGAACAAGTGGTAGTCGGAAGGAGCAATGTCTGAAGAATACGGCGAGGTAGAACTTCCCATTTGAGTGTTTCTAAGTAGGTTTTGACCAGTGCCGCAACATGTGGTCGAGCATTATCATGCAGGAGAATAATTTTGTCATGCCTGGAGTAATAGTGGGCGCGTTTTTTGAGTGCTCGGCTCAATCTCATCAATTGTGTTCGGTAGAGAGCCCCATGGTCTCGTAATGGTCTCGTTCGGTTTGAGCAACTCATAATACACAACATCAAGCTGATCCCACCAAATACACAACGTGAGTTTTTTCCATGAATATTCGGCTATCGATGTTGAAGCATGGCTAGGTGATTTCTATGATTTCCTCTTCTTTGGGTTATCGTAGTGGGGTATCATAGTGGATCTATTTTTCATCACCAGTGACTATACGATGCAAAAAATCCTGTCGTTTATGCCTGGCAAGCAGCATTTCACATGTGAAAAATCGGCGTTCAACGTTTCTCAACTTCAATTCATATGGAACCCAATTCCCTTGCTTTTGAATCATTCCCAATGATTTCAAACGATATGAAATTGTTTGTTGAGTCAATCCTAATGTAAGTGCAAGTTCTTTTTGCGTTTGGCACGAATCTTCATCCAATAATGTTTCCAATTCCGCATCTTCGTACACTTTCGGCCTTCCGCTACATTCTTTGTCTTCGACGTCAAATTCACCGTTCTTAAACTTTTGAAATCACTCATGACAACTTCTCTCACTTAAGGCAGCATATGCTTCTACAAGCAATCTAGCTTCAGCTGCAGATTTCTTCAAATTAAAGAAGTAAATCAAAAGTTCCCGCAAATGACGCTTATTCGACTCAAAACTCATTTTCATACAAAAAAAATATATGATACTGACACAAAATCGCTAATATTTCAAGGTTATGGTGTTGCCGGATGTCCAATCTTACGATATGTCGTTTTACATCAAACAATTTTAACTATAGTTTATTAATGGCGCCGTCTTTTGCAAACGGCGGAAACTTATTTGTATTCCTAATATTTTGAAAAGCTCTCAACATCAGCTTCTGAAATAAAAAAATAAGATTTTAAAAAATTGATTTGATCTTGATCTAATCTTCGTGGCGCCACTAAAAGTTAAACTGGTAAGATTAGTTTACTAGATTATTTTAAACCCTATAACTTTTTATTTGTATGAAACATTTTTTTTTCAGAAATGCTTACTTTTCAGATATTTAATGGGTCTGGAACTTTTTGTACACCCTATAACAATAATAGTTTTGTGTAAATCAAGATATTTTTTTTTCTTTTGTTATATCATAAAATATTTTTATTAAGGTAATAACAGGAACATGGTTGGTGGATGGAAATCCTCAAATAATTCTATTCGATATCGGAAGTGCTGCTTGGAAGCTTGACGAGTATAAACAAGAATTATGGAGTACTTGCAATCTTGGAATACCTCATCTCGATATTGAAGCTAATGATGCTGTAATACTTGGATATTTAGTCTGTCAATTTATTGCAGAATTTAGGTAAATTGTTATATTATTATTTTAAAATTATTCTATGTAATTTAATTAATTGTCAATTTTGACAATTCAATTACAATAATGAAATAATAGAAAAGCAGCCGAAGGTTACTCAAGCATTCCGCCGAGAGTTGTCGTACATTGTCATGAATGGCAAGCAGGTGTTGGTTTAATCGCTTTGAGAACAAGACACGTGGATGTGGCCACAGTATTTACTACTCATGCTACACTTCTGGGTAGATATCTTTGCGCAGGGAAGACAGATTTTTACAACAATTTAGATAAGGTATATAACTTCTTTATTTTATTTCTTTTTTTTTTCTTTTCTAATCTCTTGACTTGATACAAGAACTTGGTACAAGAATCATAATTCAATCTTGGTTGAAATTTGAGATGGTCATCTCAATGATGGTTTCGGATCCAATTATGAAGTTTACCATTCTTACAGAGTCACACGTTGTTTCTCCCCATCTCTTAATCATATCATAAATATAACTATCAACTTTATTTACATAAAAAAAGTCCTACATAATAAAATGATTTCAAATAAAGAATAATTTAAAATAATTCTGGCGCGCACAATTTGTAGTGTGGAAAATATATAAAAATAATTCATGCAAAAATATTATTAGTAAAATAAAAATATTATAATGACTCAATAATAATAAATAAACATTAATAACAATAAATGGCTAAAATAAACATTAATAACAATAAGGACTATGAGCCAGATTTCAATATATTTAAATTTTTAAACAGATGTTTCGACCTTATCGTCAGGTCATCTTCAGTGTATATAATATAAAAAACGCAACATTTGATAAATTCATATAATGCTTAGATATAAATTTCAAAATTATAGTTACGCTAACATGATCGTGTTTCTTCGTGTATTTTATGCCACAACAATATAATGTTCTTTCTCTTATAATTTTTCTTAGTTAGCATTCATCTATTGTATCAATCGCAATTTGTCTTAATGATAAAAATAGTTGAAAATATTGATTCATTCAATAAAATAACGTAAGCACACATTCTCAAGCGAGAAGACATAACAAGAATATTATTATAAGAATACACCTTATAATAATAAAAAGAATAAGAAAAAGCTTTTTTTTAAGGCTTTTTTTACTTATTTGTGTAACATATTATTTTCTATTATTGTAGAATAATTTAAGTTACATATTATTTTCTATTGTTATAGAATAATTTAAGTTACTGAAGAAGTTCTGCTAAAATGCATTAAATTATATATATGCATTATACTTAAAATATTATTTTTATTTTTGCAGAATGTTGTATTCTGCAAAAAATCTGAAATTTTATTTAATAAAATTTGTATTTTTTATTGGATGATATAAAATAAGCTTGAAAAATGTAAATTGGTTAATAAGTGTATATGTGTGTGTGTGTGTGTGTGTGTGTGTGTGTATATATATATATAAAATGAATTATTATATGTGTATTATTTATATATTTTTCATTTTTAAATTAATTTTTTTAAACACGTCCAAGGAACCTTTTACATTATATTGGATTAGAGAAAAAGTTCTGTTCTTCTGCTCTTTTGTTAGCTCAAAATTATATACAGACTATATTTGTTGTGATAATTTCCGATTATCTGACGTGAAAGCTTAAAGTTTTTCTTAAAAAGTTCGTTTTTAAAAAATGTTCCTATAACTTTTTATTACCAAATTACATGCGGATTAAATAAAAGAGCATTCTGATTTTGATTGCTCATAATTCCATTAAAAATCATCGTACCATAATTAATAACACAGATTCTTAAAGCAGAAATGTTGCTCTATCAAATGGTATCAAAAGATCGATTGTAGCGTGTGGCAAGATATGCCGTTCTGTTGAAACCAAATGTCGTCTGTGTCCTCTTCAAATTTGGGAAGCAAGAATTCGATTAGCATGGCGCGGTAGCGCTCGCCATTGACAGTGACGGCAGCTCCTTGCTCATTTTCAAAGAAAATGGCCCAATGATGCCGCCGGACCAAAAACCACACCAAACAGTCACTCATTGTGGATGCATCGGCTTCTCCATGACGACGTGCAGATTCTCTGACCCCCAAATACGACAATTCTGCTTGTTCACATAGCCACCGAGGTGAAAATGAGCTTCGTCAGAAAAGATGATTTTTCGGTAAAAATGCTCATTTTCAACCAAGCGTTGTTCAGCTCATTGGGCGAATCGAAAACGCATCGGATGGTCATGTGGCTTCAATTCTTGCACTAATTGAATTTTGTACGGCTTCATACCGAGGTCTTTATTCAAAATTCTTCTCAAAGAAGAATTGTTCAAGTTTTGAGAACGATGGCGAGTTGATGTTGATGGTTGGTCAAGCACACTCTAAGCAACAGGTTGACCTTTTCAGTTGACCTTACTGGACGAGCACGTGAATGAGTTGCTTTATCTAATAAGGATCCAGTTTGCAATTCGCTTCACAAATTGATCCACAAACTGCTTGAAGGTATTTCTTTTCTACCAAATTTTTCACGTAAATTTCTTACAGTTTGGGTTGAAGACTCACCACTTTGGAAGTAAGTTTTCAATATTTCCCAATTTTATTCAAGCGTATAGTGACCCATTTCGTAAATGTCAAACAAAAAACTAAATTTCTGATACATCATAAATGTTATTACGCCTTTCAAACTCAAAATAACCGATAGTTGAAATTCCAAACGCTAGATGGCCCACTCTGTATATATAATTTTGAGCTAATAAAATACCGCAGAACTTTTCCTTCAACCTAATATTTTTAATTTATTTTTTTATAAGGAATCAATTTCTTTGATCACATCCCTTTTGAGATATCCTATTTACAATATCCTAATACTAATTGCAGTTCAGTGTTGATGAAGAAGCAGGGAAGCGTCAGATATATCATAGATACTGTATGGAACGTGCAGCTACACATTTAGCACATGTATTTACAACAGTTTCGGATATTACCGGTTTTGAAGCTGAACATTTGCTCAAACGGAAACCTGATATTATCACGCCAAACGGATTAAATGTAAAAAAGTTTGCGGCATTGCATGAATTTCAGAATTTACATGCTATTAGTAAAGAAAAAATACATGAGTTTGTGCGAGGCCACTTTTATGGGTTTGTATCAAAACAAATGTTCTTTACAAACATTAAGATATGAGCAAATGAATATATGAGCAAATGAAGCATAAGAAATAGAATATCTAAAATGTTGAAATACTAGTCTTGATATATAAAAAATATAACTTAAGTAATCAAGTGGCTAATGATTAAGCTCGTTAGCCGTGCTAAATAATTTTTTTATAAAAATTGTTAATAAAACAATTTTTATAATTTTACAATTTACAATTTTTTATAATTATGTTGTAGCATAGTTAAACATTTCACAATATCGTAAAATTCTAATACGATGTCTGATTGAGCATCACATTATTAAAAATTACTTGTCAATTTAATTTAATTTGTAATATTATTACCAGTAGTTTAATTGCATTATAAGTTCGGAAAATCAATTCGGCGCGCA